GGCATGGTGGGGGTGGCAGTAGACATACCCCGACCAATGACTTATTCTTTGTGGAAAATATGTCTGTCTCCCAGGAGGCTGAAGGTTCCTCTGGCCTGAAATGTAGGGAAAACTCACCTTTCCTCTTTCTCACCACTCCGCTTGTTGGAGAAGCCAGGGTTCCCTATAGACAGAGTGGGAGAGAAGATGGAGGCGATGAGTCTCCATCATCAAGCTCTGCTAGCGCTGCCTGGGGAGATGATCTAGTTTGGCTCCCCTTTCTCTGCTAAGGGCAGAATTTGATTAGTTGAATAGGACTGTTGTTGAGAACAACCTTAGATTCTATGTGAGGCAATACACCTGGAGCCCCAAACCAGTTCCTGGTACAGCCTTCAACCAGTGATTTGTGGGTGCTTTGAAGATTTTTAACAGAACACCAAAGCATGGATTCAAGAGTGTGGCTGTTCTCTCCTTGGTCCCAGAATTACCTTTAGGGTCCCTGGGGCCATGCTGCCTCTGGTATGAGGAGGAAAGGCATTGCTCCTGCCGTCTGGAGACCTCAGAGGTGCTGTGGTACTGGTGGGGAACAGAGAATAGATCTGAAGAGGATTATTCTTCAGGAATAAAAGCTGGTGAAATTTTACTGTGGCTTTGGATATGCTTGAGATCCCTTTCATATAATTTTTGTTTTCCATTTTGGGATGAGAGCCTGTATTCTATGTTGATTTCATCTATGTGGTAAGCAGATAACTTACTTGGTTTCCCAAGATTCTAGTTAGAGAGGAATTTTGCGTCGTGTCACCTTCCAATAGCACTCACACCTGACTAGACCATATTTCTGTGAGATCTGAGACTATGTGTTGACACTGGAATGTGTTGAAACTTTCAGGGCTGTTAGAATGGAGTGAATATGTTTTGCATGCAAGAAGGACATGAGTTTGGGGAACTAGAGGGCAGAAATGTATGGGCTGGATACTGGATGGTGTCCTCTCCAATTCCTTACCATACTACTTCAGTACTTGCCTACGTTTGGAGATAGGCCCAAGGTAAAATGAACTTAGGTAACAAAAGTTTTAGGATGCAGACAATACACAGACCAAGAGCAAAGATAGCAGAGACCACAGTGAGAGAAAAGTCATCTATAAACCAAGGGGAGAGGCCTTAGGAGAAGTCAACCGAATAACCCCTGGATCGTGGACTTTAAAACTAAACAATAGTAAGTTTATTGTGTTTTTTTTTCCATCCAGTGTATCATATTTTGCCCTAGCATGCTAAGATTACCAATCAGAAACTATGATAGAAATTTACAATGTAAGGTAGCCAGGACTTCTGGATTATCAGAGCAAATGCCCTTGGGCCCTCCCACAGTTACCTAGGCCCTAAAAGGTGTTGTTGCAGTCCAAGTTATTCATGAGACAATGCGTCAGCTTTTGGTCTTGGCTCTGCTGCCCAGAGAGGGTCAGAGTTCCTCTGGGGTTCATTTTCTTAGTGTCATTGCAGAGTCGTCTGCTCAGGGAACTGCACTGCCCACATCTCTCATCTCTGGACATCAGCTTTGTCTCATATTTGTGAAACTCAAGGCCCTGTGGGTTATTTCTGAGTTGCCTCCACAGGAGTTCTGAATCTCAGGCTTTGGGGGAGTGGTGTTGATGAGGTAATGTTGTAAGGTGAATAATCCTGAGGCCACATTTTGAAATATGAAATATTGGAGTCTTTATTACAACACTAGCAGTCTGCAGGTCGCCTGTTGTTACAAAGGCCTGCAGCCCCCAAATACACATAACTCCACTAGGAAACATGCTAGAGAGGAAAGAAAGAACAAAAACAATACCAACAAGCCAATTCAGCTCGATGGAGATGCCGTGATGACCATCGATGAACCAGGACACAGGAGACAGGACACAGGAGAAGATCACAGAGACACGTGGCATGGTGTAATGATGCTGGGCTGGTCCAGGCCTAAATAGGGTCTGAACAGGAGGCAGGACCACAGGGCTGATAGATTCAGTCAGCCTATCAGCCAAATGCCCACCCCTGTCACTAGGGATCCAGGCATGCCCATCACCTGGGAGATAGGTGATGGATGGGGGCGATTCTTTCCCCCAACACTAAGACAAGATGGCAGACTCTACCATCCCATGGCCAATATGGCACCAGCCAGACATGACCTCCTTACTCCAGTAAAAACCAACAATGAGTGTGCTTTAGGGACCCAGCGTAGCTATACATATTGTGGTCCATGCGTATTTCCTACCCCTTGGCATCTGAGTTTAGAATAGAGCAGCGTGGTACCCCATGGCCTAATCACCATGCAAAGAACTGAATAAATCTCATACCTTTAACTCTTAAAGAGGAAGAATATAACATTTCCTTTTTTTATTGCAATGAAAAAAAAATCCAGTGAACAACAACAACAAAAACTCTGGAATTAACTACTTCAGCTAACCAAGTCACTTGTCATTTACTTCAGTTAAGAACTATGGATGAACAATTTCTTTCCCTAGTAAGAGCAAGTGAGCAGCTTTCCTGTCTGGGAAAGAGGAGTTTGGCACTGACTATGAATCAGATTTTAGAAGGCTATGGCCAATTAATTCCATGCATTTGTATTATGTGTCTTAAAACAAGTTCCTCTTCGTCTTGCTCAGGTAAACGTCTTTAATTGGCTCCACCAAGATGCTGTCCTAGCAGAAGTCATAGGCTTAATCATTTTCCACCTCTCCTAGTTGTCAATGCTGATTCTCCTCTTTGCCTATGTCTACCACCTGCAGCTACCCGTGCACTTCAGTCCTCTGTAGATTTAGCTTTTCCAGATATTTCATCCAGATGGAGCCATAAAATATGTGATCTTTTTTACTTTTCATTTGTTTGGTTTAGCATAATGCTTTGAAGTTGAACCGTGGTATAGCTAGGACATGCTTTCCCTTTTTCATTGACAGATCAGCCACTGTGTTGATTTCTTTTTAAAAAATAGATTCAGCACTACTATTGCCTTTCTTTATATATGGTTAACAGTCAATGAGTGACAGCACATGTGTGTTACCAAAGAGACAGTCCCATTCCCGGGGATGGTGGGGATTGTCAATGACTCTGGGCAGTTTGTTTTCTGGGACCAGAGAGTACATCCTGCATGTGAATACAGATATCCTCTCATGGAAAGTGTTGGTTTCCCTTTCCCAGGACCTTTGCCATGAAGACACAAGGAACTGAAATATTCATCATTTCTACCCTTCCATACACATAGGCAGTTTGGCTACTATCTTACTATTCTTGAGGTCCTGGTAGAACATGGTATATTGTAGTGTTCAGGAGTTCACAAAAGCAGAGAGGATTCTGAATAAACAAGTGCAAAGAATGGAAAGATACCTTAGAACCTTTGGCCATCAGATTGCTGACACCCCTCTCTAGTCAATAGTTAGAGCACAGTCCAGATAACATTCAGGTCTCCTTCAAAATATTTTGGAGTCTCTTGCAAAACCTTTTGCTCTGTGTTCCTTGAGTCCAGGGTAGACACTCACGGAACACTGACAAAATTTGTCTTAGGACATACACCGTACAAAGCAGCTCTACTGCTGCATTGTGGCAAAAACTGCAAGGTTCTCCACAAACCCTTTCTTAATTTGTTCAGTGATTTCTGCTAGTGGTGGGATCTTTATCAGAGTGTGAGAAAGTATTTTGTATTCATGAGTATCAGACGTGAACTGACACTGTCAAAAGAATAACAGAGGTAAATAAAGCCAAAAAGTAAAGGAAGGAAAGGGGAAGAACGATGAACTGAATTGTATTTCTCAGCCTTCTGGCTCAGGGCACATGCCTTGTTTACCTCTGTCATGATCTTCTCAACTATTAGTCATGACAAAATTCATATGTATCTTTGGGCCTGGCTTACTTCACTCAATGGTCAGATAAGTTGATGTTAGGTGAAATGAACCCCAAGATAAGTATTCAAATGTTTTTTCTTTCTTGTGATTGTTTCTAACATATTTATAAGATGATTTCTTTGTTGCTTTGTATGTCCTTCCCCTATGGTATAACCCCTGCTCTCACTGTATTTGATGTTGGTATAATTTGTGGAGGGGAAGGGAACAAACAAATCATTTAAATAGGGATACAGGTGACCCATTGCAACAATGAGATGTACAGTCGTTATGTCGAACTTTACAACTTTGGCGGGGGGTGGGGGGAAGGATTTAGAAGGGATAGGGGGATGGGGAGGTGGGAGATGGGAAGGGATGGGAAGGGGAAACAAAGGAGGAGGCATCAATGCTTGATAAGAAATGTACTCATTACCTTGCCCATGTAATTGTAACCCCTCTGTACAGTATTTTCACAATAAAAAAGTTCATATGTAAAACTTAACCTTTGAACTAATATTCTTCCTTTCTAGTCCTTATTCTTCAAATTATTTTGATGATCACAAACACAGTTAAAGGAACTCTTCAGTTTTGACTGTAGCCTGCATTGCTGGAATCAACAGACTGAAAATCTGAGTAGCAGGAAAGTAAAAATTCATATTCTGAAGTGCAGCCATGCTGTGAGATCTTGTATATCACCGACTTTGCTGTTCAGGATGAAAGCCATGAATATCATTTCATGTTAAAGGAATAAAAACCAGGATGGAAGGAAAACTTTTATTTCACCTCATTAAAATTACTAACATTGTTCATTTAAACATATGACAAATATTTATGAGGAAGTAACTTTAGATCATCTTAAGTACAGATTTGAAAACATGATAATTGTGAAACAAAGGTTGAACTTTTTAAAAATCGTAAATCACTGTTTCCCAACTCAATTATATCATGATTAAAATACTTTAGTTATAGGTCAATATTCTAACAGTCATGTTTATATACATGGATATATTTAAAATTAATTTAGTTACTTAAGCTGAAACTTTTATGAATGATTTATACTTTTATAGATGATTACATGACTCAGTCATCAAAATACTGCAGTTACATAAAGACTGAAACAGGCCATCAGTAAACCATTGGATTTGGGGGTGGTGATTATTCAAAGGCTCATTGTTCATTTATCTACCTTTTTCACACATTTGAATTTTACCATAATAAAATTTAATTACCTGAATTAGCCTTAAACACCTCTTTTGGTCATGCTTCTAAATAGTAAAATACTGTTCACCATGTTTGGGCACAAATTTTCCCTCCAAAGAAATACCAAATATAGTTTTAAGCACTTCTTCAATTTCTTCTGTTTTCAGAGTCTCAAACACTACCAGATCTACATTGTCCTTATAATTAAATTTTCTATAGGTGAGGGTGTAGCCCACTAAAACATAAACACCTTCTAAGGTCTGCAAAGAACAAAATGATGTGTTCTTCATCACACAGGTTGGAGATTCCTGAAGGTAACTATTCACTGACTCAAATTCTTCAATTTTTCGAGGTTCAAGAGTAAAAGAATAGACTTTTTGGTATTTATTTTTGTCAAGGAGTTCAGAATCAACGAATTCTTCATTTGGCACATATTGCTGTCTTTTGATTTGGTCCATGTACCAGACTCCATTCTCTTCTGTTAGTCGGAAGATGGAAGGCACCTGAGGCTGGTCCTTTCCAGAAACTAATTCCAGAGGCTCCCACATCTGATTGGAGCAGCCAAATGCAGCATCAACAATGTAGTTTTTGTTACCGAGGGTCACATGAAGTAGAAGGTGAACCATTGTGCTGCTATACTTGCTGACTGGAGGGATATAAACGTATGCTCCCAGTATTCTGGTCTCAAAACCCACTGTGGTCAGAGCCCAGTAGAGAAGCTGATTAGACTGGAGACACCATCCACCCCTGTTCTTCCTTACAATATCCTCAAAAACATCTTCTAAGCCCATAGTCATGGGCAGTCCACAATGCATGTTAAAGTTCTCAAAGGGAATGGTTCGGATATGATGCTGAAGAATGCTGGTTAATGTTTCCAGATCCAGTTTGTTCCTAGAGTTCTTATAGCCAATTCTGTCAAAATATGCTTCAATATCCATGGTTATCTGGAACAAAACTAACCCAAACAAAACAAACACAATTACACTTGTACTTGGAAATCTGAGTATAGATAATGAATTATAGATATGGGTAAACTCGTTGCAACACGTAACTTCAAATGTTATATATTTAATTTTGGTGTGCAATAATATGATTTGAAGTCAGGGTTTCATGCTAAATACATGTTAAGCACCTGAGCCACTCAAGTTTGGTTTGGGTGCTTTTTAAAAACATGGTCTCTAGTTGGGCACTGGTGTCTCACACCTGTAATCCTAACTACTCAGGAGGCTGAGATCTGAGGATTATGATTCGAAGCCAACTCAGGCAGGAAACTCCATTAGGCTCTTATCTCTAATAAACTACTCAAAAAAGCCATGGCTCAAGTAGGAAAGCCCTCATCTTGAGCCAAAGAAGCTCAGGGTCAGTGTCCAAGCCCAGATGTCAAGCCCCAGGACTGGCAAAAAAAAAAATAATAATCTCCTGTTTTTGCCTGTGGCTGACTGTGGACATTGATCCTCCTACTTATGTCTTCTTCATTTTTGGGATTACAAGCCTGTGCCACCATGCATGGCTTATTTATTGAGCTCGATCTTATAAACTTATTGCCAGGGCTAGCTCTGATCTATATTTTCCACCTCTTTCTTGAATGGTTTGGATTATAGGTTGAACTATGATCCAAATTTTATTTGGAAATTTTATTTCTTTTGAAATACTGCTATTTGTTTTCATGTTTGTTCCCTCCTACACCTCTGTATATCTTTCTTCTCCATTCATCTCATACTCTTCTTTATTCCTTAAAATGAATTGGAATTTAGTAACTACAGATCCATTTGAATTCAATTTGTTATTGTTATGGAATTTGTTTTTAACGACATACTATGTCCAAATTGTTCGTGGATTATTGTGACTAACATAAGAATCATTTCTTAGGCAATTTGCTCCAGGAAAGTTAGAATGAACTTGTGACTTTAAATGAGCATCATTATTCCACAATACTGTGAAATTCCGGAAATTATGTAATCACTTAATCACAATCAAAAAAAAAAAAAAAAAAGAACCTCGGGGAAGGTAGGGAGGGAGGGGATGGTAGGGGGAAAACAATGGAGGGGGTAACAATGTTCAAGAGGAAGTGTACTCATTACCTCACTCATGTAACTGTAACCCTCTGTATAGTATCTTTACAATAAAAAAAAAAGAATTGCTTCTTAGGAAAGCATATGGAAAGTAGTTACCAGGAGAAGCTCACTGAAGGCAGTATCTGCTTTATACTCTGTTTTTGCAGCATGCTGTACAATGATAAGTCATTTCCTTTATCTTGACCATCAACAGGAGAGAAGCTGACATTTTATTTTTTTTTTTTTTGTCGGTCGTGGGGCTTGAACTCTGGGCCTGGGCGCTGTCCCTCAGCTCTTCAGCTCAAGGCGAGCGCTCTACCACTTGAGCTACAGCGCCACTTCCGGTTTTCTGGTGGTTTATTGGAGATAGGAATCTCACGGTCTTTCCTGCCCGGGCTGGCTTTGAACCGCGATCCTCAGATCTCAGCCTCCTGAGTAGCTAGGATTACAGGCGTGAGCCACCAGCACCCGGCTGAAGCTGACATTTTTTAGGGAGCACATGGAGAATTCTCAGAAAGGTGCTCATACCTGCCTGAATTTTTGTATATGGGTTGATTGTCAGCTTTAATTCATAAACCAGGAGATTTCTTTTATGTGATGCTGACTCTAGAAACAACACAAGAGGTAATTTCCAAAAGAAGATGCAACACAGATTTGCTTGAAACAAAGTATAGTTTCTGGACCAAAGATTATGGAGTTACCCAGGAAAAGGTTTGGAAAGGACCATCATAGAAATTGGTAGAAAGAAGGGGCTCTAAGTCTTCAGATGCTAGAAGCCACCAGGAGGAGTCCCCAGAACAACCAATCAGATGATTAATTATCATGGGAACTGCTAAGAGTCATAAACCCAGACCCTGTAACCAATTGCTAACAAAGTATGCACAAAACAAATGAAAGACAAGTATATTTGGAGATAGGCTTTTACTGTAGCATGTAACTAGAAAGCAAGTGAGACTATTTACATAGAGAAAACACACCATTATGAAACCTCCTATCATATACATTTTTCTTCTTGTACATATCTGTTCCACAGACATAAGGCAAAATAATGGAGCTGTGTCAAAAAGTAGTGAAGGAGTAGTGGGATTCTACTCTCGACATTAAGGCCTGATGCCCTGATCTAAGTAACAACGGCATATCACTTAAACTATTTGGCTGTTGGCAGCTCCCGGAGACCCTTAACATTATATCTTATTCTACCATGAGAAAACTTCCCCCAGGATCCTCTATACATTGCAAATAACACAACACGACAAAACAAGACATTTAGATCTTGATCAACTACTACAAGAAGTGCAGGGATTGTTAGGAGCTCGCTGCCTCTGGTATTACCTGGGTCCTTCGATATACTCACTGTTGGACAGGAAAGATGATAGACATCATTGTTACAATGACCCAAGGTAGAAATCTAGTTGAAGAATTTCCCCCGAAATGTAGCTGTCCATTAATAATACCTATAAAGCTTCACAACAAAACTTTCAAGCTAAATATTAGCTCCAGTTGAAAATAAATTATAAAGGATCTAAATTATTTGGTCAAGTTCTCGCTGCTAGTATGTGATATGGAGGACTGAACGAAGTATCTGATTCATTCACCTCTCTTCTGCAAATGACAGCATTACGTCCTAGTATGTGTCACCCAAACTTCCTAAACAGAGAAATTTGAAATTCGGTAATGGGATAGAAGCCACTCTTCTGCATTCCATGTTGAGATAGAATGAAAGTACAGCGCCAAAGTATAGCTTTGCTTACCTGATTATCTGGTGCTGCAGCCTGAGACCACACTGATGTCTGTCTTCTCCCCTCCCAAGTCTGCAGAAGAGATGTTCTTATTGTCTTTGGAAATTGCCCCACACCACACTGATTAGATCACCCACAGAGGGATCTCTGTAGAAATGCTCTGTGGTCACAGGTTGCTCTCTACCTCTTTTCAAATACTTCCTGAGAAAAAGAAAGTATAGGATTTACCTTATCTGATCATTCGCATGCCTCTGGCTGTGAGAGGCATGACTTTGTATTTCACATGATTCCTGTTGCCTGAACTCGAGGCCACATGTCCCATGTGCGATGTGGAAAGATTTCTAGCAGATTTAGTAACTGAAACAATGGAGGCCTGGAATGGTGCTCCCAGTTTGTGACAACTCTCTTCATTGTGTGTGTGTGTGTGTGTGTGTGTGTGTGTGTGTGTGTGTGTGTGTGTGTGTGTGTGTGTGTGTGTGTGTGTGATTGAACCACGGTCTGAGTGCTTGCTGTCCCTTAGCTATTACACTCAAATCTAGCACTCTCTACCACTTTAGCTATACCTCTACTTCCAGGTTTTTGGTGGCTAATTGGAGGTGCATGTCTCAGGGACACGCCTGCCAGGTTGGCTTTGAACCACAATTCAGATCTCTACCTCCTGAATAGCTAGGATTACAGGCATGAGTTACCAGCATCTGGTGAACCAATTCCCTTTAAAAACTTCTCTATTTTCATTTTTCTTCTTGTTACTGCACTTGGGTTCTGAAGAACCTATACATGGAAGCCCGATATTTGAGAGATGAAAAGTGGGATTTACTGTAGATATTCACAAAAGCAAGGAACAGGATGATGTTTGAAATCCAGTGTCTACTTGTTTGGGGAGGTGGGAATATTTGATGAGAATCAGGTAAAGCTTATTTGAGAAATCCATGTTTGACTAGTATATTGAGCTACAGAGATAGCAAATTCTTCATGATGACATTCTAATGCTACTCAGTCTAGGGTAAAGTGAAATCATCTCATAAAAGGAAAAACAAGGTCATAGGAATAACTGTGAAGGGCATGATCTAGGAACTAGAGAACAGGAACAAAGAAAGACAGAGTCCCTGGTCCTGAACAGTTTATTTCACACCTCATCTTCACTCACATTTATAATAATGCCAAAGCATTATTTAATGTGTCTGGTATTCGTCTGTGTATATTGTACTGTTATACTCTGTAATATGATTTTGTTTTACTTGTCTTTTTCATGAACATTAATGACATTGGCCTGTAATTCCTGCTTTTCTTAGACATAGCTTTCTAAATTATATTCTAAATGGCTGACTATAGTCACCTACCAGATCCCATTTCCCTACCAATCCCAAATAAAATTTCAAAGACATGGCTACAAGAACTGTGAGTAATTTAGAAAGACAAGGGTCTACACCATAAAAAGAATAGACAAGCAGAATCTAGAAGGAGCTCAGAAATATCAAACTTGATATTTATAAAAGCAGCAAAGGGAAAAACTGATTGGACAGAGCCCAGAGAGCCCTGAGCTCTACCTCTCCAATCAAATACAAATCCCAGAAATGGACAATTTACATCCAGTATATTGTGAGCCACCTTGTCCTTCTACCTCATTTTTCCAACTGTGTGGCAAGAACAAGTCACCATGCCCACAAGCCCGGGCAAGCAATGCTACTTTACAAGCAGCATCTGGTGGTCTAGAGAATAGCTGGCTAATCTTACTGTGGATCATCCAGAGGTACAAGCACATGGACAGTACGCTCTTGAAAGTTAAGTGAGTCATCAAAACCATAAGGTAAGAAATAGTAAAGGAGGTTTGTATCCAGACCAAAAGAAAAACAAAACCCTCATAAATAAGGCGGTGAATGTAGAAGATGGTCTGTTTTAGGGTGGGGTAGAGAGATGGGAGGATAAGGGAGACAGTGATTCGGATGTAAACCACAGACTGTCCTTCACACTGGTGATGCCTCCTGCTATCTTTTCGGCATTTGGTCTAAGTACATTCCTCAGGCTTCCTGTTGCATCACCTGAGACTTTCTACCTGAAGGCTTCCCACTGACATAAGCTTAGGCAGACTGGATAAACAATCACAGTAACTCCACTAGAGCAACTGCTCAGCAAGGAATGATGCAAATTGGACACATCCCCATCTTCTATCTGCTCAAGTGGAGTTTCTCTGAAACATGAGCACACTGCCACTTACTGTGGTCCAGGGTGATGTTCTTTCTTCGTCCACTGGCAATCTGACAGCTGTGCACCCTTTGATGCTTCTTCAACTACCTTAATACCTTTCATCCTGTCTTCCTATGCACACCTGGTTTCATTGCTACCTCTATGCACATACCACATCAATAACCTCTTTTCCTTATGAATGTTTCTTTCTCTGATTCATGTTTTCTTGTGATGTCACAGGCTGGTGAGGAGGTCTAGTGTCATAATTTGGCTTTTTATAATATAACCCTGACACTGGAATCCATACCCAGAAAACCTGAGTTGTAGATAAAAAGTAAACCTTTAGATTCTGAAAGACAAATCATGCTTTTACGGCATGAACAGCTGCTATCATGATTTCATCAAGGGTGAAGCAGGCAACTAACAATTGAAACCACGTTTTGAGCTAGAGGGAAAGGAAGAAAGATGGAAAGAAAATTTCCATTAAATGCTCACCTACCACCGAAGATATTATTCACATTATCCCTTCATTCCTTTAGCCGATATTCATTGAGAGTTTACTGTAGGTCTGCTACTGAATTGTACATCTTATAACCCCATTTTATCCTGTGAGGTCAGAGCCATAGATTTATCCTTAAAAAAAAACAACTATCTACAATAGTTTTTTCCTCTAATGGTAAAACATGGAAGATTTAAAGTTACTCTTTTCCATCTGTAGATTTCATAATTTTAGCATAAACTGACAGTGAGCAGGTTTTAGGAAAAATACATAAAATGTATTATATGCCTGAGGTGTGAGCATTAGATTCCAAAGTGGCAATGCAGCTGACTCTCATTGAGCTTTAAGAGATTGGAGATAGGGCTTCAAGGGGAAAAGAATTTGTCCAGACACTCTATGATTGGGGGAAGTGTGCACAGCAAGCAAAGATGGTCTTATTAATTTCCAGGCAAGAGCCACCAATATTATTTCTGTTTGAGCAATACGCCAGGCCTCCAAAACCCCCCTTCCTGTGGAAAAAGATTTATCCTAGGAAGATTAAATATTAGATAGTAAGGCCATTTCCCTCCCCCCCTTCTTTCTTCCCACACCAGTGCAGCTGAATGTAGTGTTTAAACTGGGATGGTAGCAGTGGGAACCTAATCTCATCTCATCTAATCAAACCCAATCTAATCTGTTGTTGGGATGTGGGCTTGTGTTTGATAAAGAATGAGGGATAAAAGGTAGAACCTTCCCCAGGGTATAAGCCCTGCTTTCACTGTATTTGATGTTTGATGTTGATATAATTTATGAGGGGGGGGAGGGAAAAAACAAACTGTTTAAATAGGGATACAGGTGGACCCATTACAACAATGAGATGTACAAGACGTTATCGAACTTTACAACTTTGGCTGGGTGGGCGGTAGGGAGGGTGGAGGGTGGTAGTAGAAGGGTGTGGGGGGTGGAGAGGGGAAGGGATGGTAAACAAAGGAGGAGGCAACAATGTTGATAAGAAATGTACTCACTGGGTCTGGGAAGGTGGCTCAGTGGTAGAGCGCTTGCCTTGCATGCATGAGGCCATGGGTTCGATTCCTCTGCACCACATAAGCAAAAAGAAAAAAAAAAAAAGAAATGTACTCACTATCTTGCCCATGTAATTGTAACCCCTCTGTATGGTATTTTCACAATAACAACAACAACAACAATAATAATATAATAAAAAGGTAGCATCTGAAGATTCCTTTGCCACTTCTCACTGTGGGTTACTGTGAGGGTCTAATGCCACTAGATAAAGGCGCATTAGGAAGAGGACTGGTTTGGGGAAGATTAAAGGACTACTGAAGGCTAGGTCTATCTCCAGATGCAAATCCATTTTATTGTCAGTAGCAGGCTGGATTCAGGGAAGAAACTGCTCTACAACTGGTGACTTTTAACCCTATTGTGACCGCTGGTTTCCTCTCCTAAGCTAATTTCTGTCCACCGGTAGCCACATGCTTATGCCCATTTCTCCTTCCGTCTGTACAGACAAGGAGCTAGGTAGGAGGTATAATGTCTCAAGATCCCTCGCAGTGAGGTCAAGGTGAGATAGGACCAGGAAGGAAGCCGCGGGGTTGGTCATGACATAGATGTGCTCCAGTGACAGCCTCTTGTGCTGGTACATTTTTAGTGGGTTTTATCTTTTGAGCTATTTTTGTTTCCCTAGGTGTGTGGGAAACTTGTGCTGCTAAGACAGCCTGCTGATAGCCGGCGGCCCATTCTCTGTGATTTTGGAACTGGATTGTGTTACCCACATGTTTCCATTACCTTTGCATTTATTCCATTGAATCTGCCATTCTTTGCCTAAAATGAACCAGAACCTCTTTCCCGGTGAAGCGTTCCTCATCTACATGCCACATCTTCCTTCCGCTATCTTGTGGGGCCTCATGGGAAGATGGTGATGATACACTGAAAAGGCTGAATTCTTTGCATACTTCTTTCTTGTGTCTCTAAAGGAAGACAAAGGGTCAAAGATCAGATACTCACAGCCAACTAGGTCTTTACCTCTATAATCTAATCTGTCTTTTATATTCCCTGAATAGGTAGGCCAGATGGCCAGATGAGGGAGAACAATGGAAAGGGTGACACTGATCAAGATGCATTGTACTTATAAATGGATTTGTTGAATTGAAACCCCTTTGTATAACTACTTAAACGTAATAGTGTTTTAAAGGTAGTTCACCTGTGAATTCTCTTTCATCAGGTTCTGTGGGAAGAACCTCTTTCTTTGCTTTGTACTTTCCCTTCTTCTTACCAAACTATGAATGTGATGGAGGCCCAGTAGACACTTATCTTGAGGAGAAAAAATACTGACTGTTCTGAGGATAGAGCAAACAGATGGAAAGAACCCATGGCCACATCAACCTTTGATCTCTAGACTTTAGACTTCTCTTTGGTACAATACATCCCTAATTGTACAAAACAAAGGTCACCAATTACTTTTATAAAGTGGTAATATAGTAAAGTTAGTCA